TGATTTTTGGTTGTCCATGGTGTGGTGCTATGGGTTAATGTGCCAGACTGCAAAGTCATTTGAATTGCAAGGTCGGTGGTTCAAGCTCATATAGAAGCTCCTCGGAAACCCTATATAGGGTTGCTATGCGTCAGAACTGACTCAACAGCACTTAACAACAAAACATTAATATTTAGGAGTCCTGGTGTGGCTCTCTGGGATAATGTATCAGACTGCAGTCATTTGAACTGCAAGGTCAGTGGTTCAAGAAACCCTATACAGGGTTGCTATGGGTCAGAATTGACTTGATGGCACTTAACAACAACAACATTAGTATTTAGGAGCCCTCGTGTGGCACTGTGGACTAATGCACTGGACTGCTATGTCAGTTTGAACCTTAATGTTGGTGGTTCAAGCTCACTAGTCGCTCCTTGGAAACTCTATACAGGGCCGCTATGGGTCAGAACCAACTCGATGGCACTTAATAATAATAACAGCAACAAATTAGTATTACAGAGTCCTGATATGGCACTGTGGGATAATGTGCTGGATTGCAAAGTCAATTTAAACTACAAGGTTGGCAGTTCAAACTCACCAGCCACTCCTCGGAAACCCTATATGGGTCAGAACTGACTTGACAGCACTTAACAACAACAACAACATTAGTATCTAGGTGCTGTGGGATAATGCACTAGAGTGCAAGGTCAGTTTGAATTGCGAGGTTGGAGATTCAAACTTACCAGCCGCTTCTTGGAAACCCTATACAGGTTCACATTATGGGTGGGAACCCACTCAGTGGCACTTAATAACAACAAGAGCGACACTAGATACTAATTATATAGAGCTTCTGAGGAGCAGCTGGTGAGCCTGAACCACTGGCCTTCTCCTGGGGTAGAGGACAGGGGAATTGTACGGTATGCTTATAGGCGACTTTCTAGCAAGCTCTTTGTCTTTGTCTGGGAGTGCTAGCTCCAATTTTCAGGGTATCTTTTATCTCTAAGACTCAACCAAGGCTCTTCAGGGCAAACTGGCTTACTGTTCAGAGTCGTCTTCTGTAGACCTTTGCTTTCCACTTCTACTGTCCTAGCTCAGTTACCATTCATTGGTTTGCCTCCCATTTTCCACAAATGTACTGTCATCACTTGTTAATTGTGTGTGCTCTCACTCTTTCTTCTTGCAGATTTAAGCCTCCCCCCCTCCCCCCCATATTCATTTAGTGTCATTTTAGTGGCGTTTCAGGAGGGAGAAGATATAGATACTTGACTCCATCTGCTAGGCTTAACCTGAAGGCCAGAATGAGATTTCAATCCTGACCAGTATAACTCCAAAGCCTTTACTTCTTTTACTCATCCTAGGTAGCAACCCATCCAGTGGAATCCAACAAAAAATACCTGTGACATACACTGCAAATTGTCTACTCAATGTCCCTCTTTCATTTCTTCCTTCGTAATAGAACCTCTGGTTTTCAACTGGGCACATGGTTACCCAAAATGAAAAATTTCTTCCCAACCTTTCTTGAAGATAAGTATGGCCAAGTGATTAAATTCTGGCCAATTAAATATAACTGCTATGTGACAGTTTCCAGAATACTCAAAAGATAGCTTGTATCACCCTTTGCCCCTTTCTTCTTTATCCTTCCTTTTTTTTAGCTGTACATTACAGCTAGAGCTTGAGCAGTTATCCTGGACTAAGAAGTGGAAGCTATGTGTTGAAAGTGGTAGCACAGTGAGGTAGGAGGAGCCGGGGTCCCTGATGACCTAATAAAGCCACTCTCTACAAGTCCTAAAATGCTTGCCTCCAGACTTCTTTCAGGTGACAGAGCAGTCATTGTTACTTTGGGCTTTCTGTCATGTACAACTGAGCCTAATTCTAACTGATACAGTGTCAATGGGCAATATGACTTCAGAGAGGGTGACAGAAGTTTCATAGAAAAGAGGGGAGAACATCTGAACTTTAAAGGATGGCTAGTTCAACCTGATGAGAAAGTGCGGGACACATTCCATGTGGAAGAGTAGTATGAAGAGGGACACATTGGGCAAGATTGCATAGAGTGCTTTTATAGGGTTACGTGTTGACTAGTGTGGTTGGAATAAACTAAGGTAGGGGAGAAGTGGGAGATAAGAAGGAAGAAAAGTTTGGGGACAGATTATGTAGGACCTGGACAGCCAAACCAACTTTAGAGCTTGCTTCGTTAACAATGAATTTACTCAAGGTTTTGCAGATGGAAGTTGGATAGACAGGTCTAAAATGGAAGAGAATGTTTGCTGTTGTTAAGTTGTTAAGTACCTTCCAGTTGGTTCCAACTCAGAGCAATCCTATGCACAAAAGAATCAAACACTGTCTGGTCCCTCGCCATCCTCACAGTGGTTGTTACGCGTGAGCCCATTGCTGCTTCCACTGTGCCAATACATTTCATTGGGGTTTCCCCTCTTTTTTGCTGAACCTCCACTTTGCCAAGCATGATGTCCTTCTCCAGGGACTGGCCTCTCCTGATAATATATCCAAAGCATAAGGGATGACGTCTGGCCATCCTTGCTTTTAAGGAGCATTCTGACTGTAATTTTTCCAACACAGATTTGTTTGTTCTTCTGGCATCTGTGGTACTTTTAATATTCTTGTTCAACACCATAACTCAAATGCATCAATTCTTCTAGGGTCTTCCTTATTCATTGTTCAACTTTCACATGCATAAGGCGACTGAAAATACCATGATTTGGGTCAGGTGCATCTTAGTCCTCAAACTGATATTTTTGCTCTTGAACACTTTGAAGAGACCTTTTGCAACTGATTTGCCTAATGCAATACATTGTTTGATTTCTTGACTGCTGCTTCCATAAGTGTTGATAGTAGATCCAAGCAAAATGAAGTTTTTAACAACTTCAATCTCTTCTCTATTTATCATGATGTTATTTATTGGGCCAGTGGTAAGGATTTTAGTTTTCTTTTCATTGAAGTGCAATCCATACTGAAAACTGTGGTCTTTGATCTTCATCAGTAAGTATTTTAAGGCCCCTTTGCTTTCACCAGCAAGGTTGCATCAACTGCATATTGCAGGTTGTAATGAGTCTTCCTCCAACCTTGATGCTACATTCTTCTTCATATAAACGAGCTTCTCAGAATATTTTCTCAGCATACAGAATGAATAAGTATGGTGAAAGTAAACAACCCTGGCTCACACTTTTCCTGATTTAAACCCATTCAGTGTCCCCTTGTTCTGTGCAAATAACTGCTTTTTGGTCTACGCACAGATTACTCGTGAGCACAATTGTGTTCTGTAATACCCGTTATTCACTATGTATACCATAGCTTGTCAAAAATCACAAAATCAAAAGCCTTTGCATTGTCGATAAAGCACAGGTAAACATCTTTCTGGTACTTTCTGCTTTCAGCCAAAATCCATCTGATGCCAGCAATGCTATCCCTCTTTCCACATCCTCATCTGAATCTGGCTTGAACATCTGGCAGTTTCCTGTCAATGTATGGCTGCAGCCATGTTTGAGGACAGTACTACTCTGACATGTCACCATGAACCCGAATCAACTTGATGACAGTTAGTTACATGCTTTGTTTATCAAATGAGGAAGGCAAGAAGAAGGTAAACTCAAAAGTTGTTAAAGATTTTCATGGCAAGAGAGTAAGAATAAAGAATTTGAGATTCTAAGTTGAGAAAGAAGAACCTGGATGCAAGGACCATCATCTGGGATCAAGAGGAATAGAAACCTACAAAGGATCTAGAAAAGGAGAAAGGAAGGCAGCTGGATGTTATGAAAGCAAAGAGAGTGGAAACTGACCAAAAGAAATCAGTAAAAAGCTCAAAGAAACGAGTTGCTGTTGTTAAGTGCCATTGAGTCAGTTCTGACTCACAGTAACCCTGTATACGGTTTTCAAGGAGCAGCTAGTTGGTTTGAACTGCCAATTTTATGGTTATCAGGTCAGTACTCATCCTACAGCACACCACCAAGATTCCAAAGAAACTAGAACACACCAGGAATTAGTGAAAGACATTGAATTTGGGGACAAGAAAGTCTCTAGTGAACTCTGAAAGTCCGATTTTGGTAGACTGTAGAGGTGGACACTGCTCTTCAAGGAGTAAATAGATGTTAGGAAAATAAAATTATTAATATGCTCTATTTATGAATAGATAGAGTTGTTGAAATAGTTAATGCAATCGACTACTTAACTAAAAGGTTGCAGGTTTGAATCCTTTGAACCCATCCATAGGAGTCCCAGAAGAAAGGCTCTAGCAGAAAGGTGATCTACTTCCAAACAATCACAGTCCTCCTCTGGCCATGAGTCATTGTGAGTTAGGGATCAACTTGATGATAACTGTTTTATGTTTTATTTATCAAAAGAAGAAGGCAATAAAGAAGGTTAAACGCAAAAATGGTTAAAGATAAAGGTTTTCATGGAATCAAGTGAAAGTATTTTTCTCAGGGAGGGAGGTTGTTTGGCTTGTTAAAAAAGAACTGTGGACATCAGTGGAGAGATTGCCAGGGTGTCAAAAGAGATGGGGCCTGAAATAATGGGAGGGATGAGAGTTCCAGCTTAGATGGGGGCCTGAGTGATGGCTATAAAGGGGAAAGTTATTCTGAGAAAGAGATACAGCGGAGAGGCAAGGAATGAAGGCTTGGCTAGCTAGTCAACCATGCAGCAACAAATAGTTTTCATCTTCATTATTCTAATTCTTAGTGCTGCTTCAGATCTGTCCAGAAATAATCGAAAACAATGAGAAATTTTAACTTGTCTGTAAAATGGCCATTACTTAGTTTCTGAGTTTAGAGTCTCAAACAAGGCTCATAAAATACACACACGAAAACTATAAATCTGGTGATTGTAGCCATAAAGGGAGAATGAAGTTCATTTAGGTGAGGGAACAACAAAAACAACAGCAAAGTTCAGCTCATTTACACATTGATATCAATACCAGAATAGCAGTCAACTCCCAATACGGACCTGAAAATTAATTACAGGATGGAACTTTAGATAGCCATTTATCACACAGATCGAATGCCAATACCTACTCAAAGTACAGCGTGAGGTCTGTTGCCAATATCGACTGCTTCAAAAGCTGCATAAGGTCACTATACTCCTTGGAGGACAAATTAGCAAAGATGTTGTGACCCTGTAATGAGAAAGTAAGAAAACACAAAAGAAAATATTATATCTGTGGCTATAGATTATATTTTTTCCTGCATTAAACAAAGGGGCGTGAAGTACACGATAAAAATCATCTTTAACAAAGCTTAATGAAATCTTATGAAAATACAAATTCCCTGGCAAAGAGCAAAGTTAGAGGGTGCAAGTCATTTTTGAGAAGGCCTATGAGTTCTGCTGTAGGATCAGCACTGGGCTGCTAACCACAAGGTTCACAATTCAAACCCACCACCCGCTCCTTGGAAACCCTATGTTGGGGTACTATGAATCAGAACTGACTTGACAACACGTAACAACAACAAGAGCTTAACAACCACCACTATCAGGGGACACTCCATTCTGTCCTGAAGGGAAATCTTTGGAAATGATTCAACTTGTTTTGCTGTGGAAATGTGTGTGCCAACAACTCTAGCTGACTGCCCATTTCCGATGAAATTAATGAGTAGAGAAATTGGCAAACCATTTGGGAATCGTTCTGACCCTAAAATAAATATCAGTTTTACTAGTAAAAATTTAAGCTGACATTTTGGAAACATTTACTCAGGGAACAAATGACTTCAAGGAGGAGAGAGAAACCTCCATTATACTAGTGCTTTTCAACAGGGAGTGATTTTGCCTTGCGACAGACATTTAACAAAATCTGGAGATTTTTGGTTGTCACAACTTTGGTGAGGGTGCTATGGCATCCTATGGATAGACTCAGGGACACTGCTAACCATCCTATAAATCACAAGACAACCCCCTGCAACAAAAAAATTGTTTGTTCTAAACTGTCAGTAGTGCTGAAGCTGAGAAGCCCTGAGTTATACTGTTAACGTATATCTCAGTGAAAGGTGTGGTAGGTTAAACTCCGTGAACCCTCTGGGATGGCTAAGATGTAGACAGCATTGTCCATAGCACTGCGTACTTTAATTTACCTAGAGAAACTTGTAAATACACTTATAGCACTTCTCCTTTGAAAAGCAGTTATGTTCATTGAAACAACTTGTTTTTAATAAAGTGAAAAATCCTCTGTAAAGTGACCAACAAGGAGTTCTGGCAGTGTAGTGGTTACGAGTCGGGCTGCTAACCACAGGTCAGCTGTTTGAAACTACCAGCTGTTTCACGGGAGAACGATGAGTCTTTCTGCTCCCCTAAAGATTACAGCCTCAGAAACCCTATACAAGGCCTCTGAATCAGAACCGATTCCACGGCACATAACCACCAACCACTACCAAAGTGACCAACGCTTCACTAGTTTGCTTTGAAAGTCAGGACTTTTCATTTGTCAGGTTCATTTAGTATGAAATACAAACTCATAAACATGTGGCTCAGGAACTGGACCAGTTTTAAATCTTGTGTTGAGAGCCAGAAGATGGTGGAGAGAGGAGGGGCTGCCAGACTTCCAGAGAAGAAGCTATTCTGCAACAGGAGGTAAATTACTTCCTTCAGAGAACCAGAATATCAATTAGTAAATTAGCTCTACTAGATGATAATCTGCTCCTCTGAGTTAATTTATCTCTGGGTGGACCCTTAAAGCGCAGAGTATATTGGTTCCACCTGGGACTAGGTCCAATATTAATAATAATTTTCAAATGAACTCTTCCAGACCTTTAATTCTGCTATTAGGAAGAAGACAAATAACTAAAGGAAGACCTCACCATAATTCTGGTCAGGTTTCTCTACCTCATGGATCAACCACAGGCTGTTGTTATGGGGTTCTGGAAACAGTAGTCGGAAGTTCTGGGACAAGTCACTCTGACCCAGCTCCATGCCCAGTATCTCCCATCATAAGAAATAGAGCCAATTTATAATAAAGTTACAGTACAAACTTCCGAGGAATAAGAAGAAAGCTGGTCTGAATTTGAATATTCTGATTATTTTGTGAGGGAGTGTATTTTACTACTTTTAAAGGACATAAATTAAGCCCCCGGTGGTGCATTGGTTAAGTGCTCAGCCCTGGAAAGTTTGGTGGTTCGAACCCACTTATCAACTCCATAGGAGCAAAGACCTGGTGATCTGCTTCAGTACAGTTTACTTAAAAAAAAACACCCTACCAGAGCTCTTTCCAATAAGACTGCCCCTATGGGACAGTCCCACTCTGCCCATGGAGTCACTGTGAGTGGAAATCTACTCAAGGGCACCTACCAGCAACAAAGGACATATAGTAACCAACACATTTTGCAACTAACAGTGACAAAGCTAGCTAGACTGACTGCAAAAATAAAAACCACAAAAAAGTTAATTTGTATAATAATCAGTGTATTGCTTATACCCAAATGAACCTTCTGTAATGCCTCAAGGATTTGTTCCATGAGATAGATTTCAGTCTCCCAGACATGCTGCTTAAAACTGTTTTAAACTCTTTGTTTAGGGAGGAAGTGAGTGTATTATTGATAGGAAGAAATCCAGGCTTGCAGTCAAAGGGTCTGGGGCAACCCATTGGCTGTGTGACTGTCAAGAAGACATTTAACTTCTCGGAGGCTTGGTCCCTTCAGAAGGTAAATATAATGATAATAACACCTGCCTTTCTGCCAGCCAGGGCAGGAAGGGATATGTAATAGGTGTTGTTATTGTTGTTACATGCTGCTGTCCAGTCAGTTCTGATGCATAGTGACCCTGTGTAGGGTTTCCAAGGAGCAGCTGGTGAGCTTGAACCACCGATCTTACCGTTCAAACTGACTTTACAGTCCAGCACATTAACTCACAGCACCACACCAGGACTTCATGTTATGGGTAAGGCTCTGGTATTATTTCCTGTTCTTTATCGTGAACCCCACATGAAGGGCAGTCAGTGCATTTTATTTGTTTGAAAACAAATTCTGGGTTAGTGGGGTCTGAACTAATGAAGTTTTGCCTCAGGAAATCCTCAAGGACACAATCAAATGACCTTCAGAGGAAACTGGATATTGCTTATTATTACAAAGGTGGGGTTTGAGGGACGGAGGCGTACACCCATCTCATTTACCAGTACAGAAAGAACATCTGAACTGTGGCTCCTCTGATCCTGACTTCCCGCTTCAACAGCACTCAGCTAAAACATGACTTAGCATGGAAAATTCTGGAATCACTGCTGCTAAGATGCTGATTTCTGTCAGAGCTACTGAGAGCCTACATCTTGGGGTTCTATTCCCATCTGCAAACACATCACCCCAATGGGTTTGCTCTCCTCTGCTCTGCATTCAGGTTCCTGGTGTCAACTCCTCTTTATGGGGTTGAAGGCTTTTGTGATATTGCAGAAGACATGCTTTCTCCAGATAGGCTGGAGGAAAAACCCCTCCATATTTAATGATGCTATTCCAGCGAAGCAGGGCCTTAATGATGATAGTAATAATAATTAATGGCACAGTTAGAGAACTGACACATAATGGGGAACAGATGATCCCTTCCTGGCCTCAAAAAAAAAAAAAAAGAGTCTGTGAGCCTGCAAACAGATCCCTTTCTGGCAATTTTAAACTCAGAAGCCTCAGCCGGTCAGTTAGTGGGTTTTGTTTTTCTCTGCAGAGAGCTAGATGTATAAAATCCTAACTATCTCCAACTCCTGAATTGCCACATGATGAAAAATGAGGCAGATGGCTTTAGTCCTGGGTCTTAAGTTTAGTTACACTTGTCACGTCCAAACTGGTCCCACCAGTGATTTTTAAGTTTTTTATTTTAAAACAGGTTTCTTCATTGTGCTAATAAACGATATCTTTTTCACCCTGTTTCTGCTTCTACCATCTTTTCGAAAGATGACTTTGGGTTACCTTGACACTTGGACTAAGTCACTTCCGACGTGGGAAGTGAGGAAGGTAAGATCATGTCTGAATGACAAGGTACAGGCAGTCTAGCCTCTGATTGTGGATCTGAAAAGCCTCCTGAGTGACAATGAAACTCAAATGAATCAACTCAGAAAGAGCTTGAACAGATCCTTGATCAGGCTTCTGAAAGAATAAAAAAGTCACCAAGAAAGGCTCAATAATTCAGCCGAAAACAAGGTGTTCCACTGCTCTCTATCTACCTGTGACACTACAAAGAAAGAGAGTTAGAAAACGTAGAGTTGCATTGGTTTTCTGTCAAGGGGAGAAGCAGAACATTAGATCTGTACCTCACTCTGAAGGATCATCACTGCGTGGTTAAAATGGTGATGCTCTAGGGTGGCAGAAGTTCCATAGAGTTGAGCCAGGGCAGAGCCACTCCTGAAAGAGATCAGAAGGTGAGTGATCAGGGCCCTTCCCTTGCAGACCATCCCTCCACGCCAGGTCTTTGAGTCAAATGACTTTTTTTGCTTTTGGCAAAGGACCACGAGCAGATATGTACTATGAATGTGTAGTTCATTCATCCATTAAATAATTTTTTATGGGAGGCTTCTATGTGTCAGGCTTGAAGCTGTGGATACTGCAATGAATGAATAAGAGAGAGTTTCTGCCTCTAAGAAGCCACAGTAAGGAAAACGATATAATCATAAGGGAAAATAATGCATATGATACATAATACAAATACTAATGGACTGGATTGTAGAAATGTCTTAGATCTAATCAAAATTGTGAGGTTTATAAAAAAGCATTCAGGCTTGAGGGTTCAATGGCGACTTCATGAAGAATACAATCCCCCTCTTTTGGATGCAACATTATTTCTAATTGCACAAAATCTAAACATTCAACAATAGGGAAGAAGTAAAATAAAATATGATGTATCACACAATGCAGTGTAGTAAATACTAAGAAAAATAACCCTCTCGAGGACGGAGATGGGGTGTGAAGACATTGTCGAATGAGCACGAACCTGATGAAAGGAAATGAGAGAAGCCATGCCCAGTACGATAGCTGAGTTGTTCAGCACTGGAGGGGTGGATATGCAAAGGAAACCTGTTTCTGAAAAGGTCAGGAAGGGGTTTGCTTTCAGGGAAAAAGCCATTGGATATATTTTGGTATATAATGAGGGGCCTAAATGTTTTTGAATGAGAAAGGGGTTTTATGACCTGAACTGTGTCCCAGGAGCTGCATGGTGGACGATGAAGGAGAAACAAAGTGAAACTGTGATGAGTCAGTGACAGTAGTCAGAGCAATTAATTGCCTCAGACTGGGCCAGAGGGAACATATAAAGTTACTGAAAATATCATGACTTGGGTCATGCACACCTTAATCCTCAAACGGATATTTTTGCTCCTGAACACTTTAAAGAGGTCTTTTGCAGCAGATTTCCCTAATAAATCATTTGATTTCTTGACTGCTGCTTGTATGAGTGTTGATGGTGGTTCCAACCAAAATGAAGCCTTTAACAACTTCAACGTTTTCTTCATTTATCATGATGTTTTTTATTGGTCCAGTGGTGAGGATTTTTTGTTTTCTTTACATTGAGCTCCAATCCATACCAAAGGCTGTAGTCTTTGAATTTCATCAGTATTTTAAGTCTTCTTTGCTTCCAGAAAGCAAGGCTACACCATCTGCCTATCACAGGTTGTTACCGAGTCTTCTTCCGATCCTGATGCCATGTTCTTTCTGCTTCATATAATCCAGCTTCTCATTTATTTTCTCAGCATATAGATTGAATGCTGAAAGAATATACTACCCTAGCATACACCTTTCCTGATTTTAAACCATTCAGTACCTCCTTGTTCTGTTGTCATTCAGTTCCTCTATGTACAGGTTCCTCATAAGCACAATTAAATGTTCTGGAATGTCTAGTCTTCTCAGTGGTATCTATAGTTTGTCATGATCCACACAGTCAAAAGTGTTTGCACAGTCAGTAAAGAACCAATAAACATCTTTCTGGTAATCTCTGCTTTCAGGCAAGATTTATCTGACATCAGCAATGATATCCCTAGTTCCATGTCCTCTTTTGAATCCAGCTTGAGTTTCTGGAAATTCCTTGTCAATGTACTATTGCAGCAATTTTTGAATTATTTTCATCAAAATTTTACTTGCATGTGATGTTAATGGTGTTATTCGAGGATTTCCACATTCTGTTGGGTCACCTCTCTTTGGGATGGACATAAATATGGATCTTTTCTAATTGGTCTGCCAGGTAGTTGTCTTCCAAAGTTGTTTTGCCTAAATGACTGAGTGCCTCTAGTGCATCATCAGTTTGTTGAAAGATTTCAATGTGTAGTTAATCAATTCCTGGAGCTTTGTCTTTAGCCAGTGCCTTCGGTGCACCTTGGACGTCTTCCTTCAGGACCATTGGTTCCTGATCATATGCTACTGCTTGAAATGATTGAACATCAACCATTTCTTTTTGGTACAGTGACCTTCCATCGTCTTTTGGTGCTTTCTGCATGATTCAATAATTTACCCATTGTTGTTGTTGTTAAGTGCTGTGGAGTGTGTTCTGACACAAAGTGACCCTGATAGGGTTTTGGAGGAGCAGTTGGTGAGTTTGAATTGCTGACCTTATGGCTCACAGTCCAGTGCTTCTCTACAGTGACACACCAGGACTCCATTTTACCCATGTTGTTAAGTCCTGTCAAGTCAGCTTGACTCATCGTGACCCTATATAGCATTTCTGAGGAGTGGTTGGTGAGTTTGAATGGCTGACCTTGCGATTCAAACCAACTTTGTAGTCCAGTGCTTATCCTACAGTGTCACACCAGGACTCCCCCCTTTTATTGTCCTTAGACTCCTTTAATATGTCAAGTTGAGACTTGAATTTTTTATTCAGTTTTTTCAGCATGAGAAATGCTGTGTGTGTTCTCCTCTTTCGGATTTCTAACTTTGCTCATTTCATTAGAATACTGGACTTTGTCTGCTTGAGCTTACCTTTGAAATTTTCTGTTCAGCTCTGTGACTTCTTCATTCCTTCCATTTGCTTGCATTATTCATGCAGGAGATCAAGTTTCAGTGTTTCTTCTGACGCTCAATTTCTTTCTTTTTTTAATGACCTTTTGCTTTCTTCCTGTATGATATTCTTGATGTCATCACACAGCTCTTTTGTTCTTCAGTCATTAGTGTCAAATGCATTTAATCTGTTTGTGAGGTAACCTCTAAATTCATGTGGAATGTACTCAAGGTCATATTTTGGCTCTCATGGACTTGTTTCACTTTTCTTCAGCATCATTTAGCCAGAACTTGCAGTATGAGCAACTGATGGTCTGTTTTACAGTCTGCCCCCAACCTTATTTTGCTGATGACAATGAGCTTTCCCACCATCTTTTCACACAGATATAGTCAATTTGATTCTTCTGTATTAAATATGGTGAAGTTCATGTTTGTAGTCACCTTTTTTTGTTGTTCTTGTAAAAAATATTTGCAATGAATAAGTCTTTGTTGTTGCTATTAAGTTCCATTGAGTTGGGTCTGACTCATAATAATCCTGCTAAAGCTAATGGAAGAAATGAGGAGTTCCAAGAGCTGAACAGAAAATTTCAAAGACCAGCTCAAGAAGATAAAGCCAAATATTACAACAAAATGTGCAAAGATCTAGAATCAGAAAACCAAAAAAGGAAGGACATGCTCAGCATATCTCAAACTGGGGGAACTGAAGAAAAAATTCAAGCCTCGACTTTCATTATTGAAGGATTCTCTGGGCAAATTTTTGAATGACGCAGAAAGCATCAAGAGAAGATGGAAGGAATACACAGAGTACTGTACCAAAAGGAAATGGTTAATGTTCAACCATTTCAAGAGGTAGCATATGACCAAGAGCCAATGATACTGAAGGAGGAAGTCCAAGGTGCATTAAAGGAATTGGCAAAGAACAAGGTATCAGGAATTGATGGAATAAAAATTGAAATCTTTCAAGAAAGTGAGGTGGCACAGGAGGCACTCACTCATCTTTGCAAAGAAATTTGGAAGACCACTATCGGACTGACTGATTGGAAAAGATCCATATTTGTGCCCATTCCAAAGAGAGGAGACCCAAGGGAATGTGGAAATCATCCAACAATCTCTTTGATATCCCATGCTAGTACAGTTTTGCTAAAGGTAATACAGAAACGGCTACAATCATACATTGACAGAGAACATCCAGAGGTTCAAGCTGGATTCAGAAGAGGCTGTGGAACGAGGGATATCATTGCTGATGTCTGATGGATCTTGGCTAAAAGCAGAAAATATCAGAAAGATGTTTACCTGTGCTATTGACTACACAAAGGCTTTCTATTGTGTGGATCATGACAAGCTATGTACAACATTGTGAAGTATGAGTATTCTGGAACACTTAACTGTGCTCATGAGGAATCTGTACCTGGACCAAGAGGCCGTTGTTCAAACAGAACATGGGAACACTGATTGGTTTAAAATTAAGAAAGGTGTACAACAAGGTTGTATTCTTTCACCATACTTATTCAACCTGTATGCTCAGCAAATAATCCTAGAAGCTGGCTTATATGAAGAAAAACGTGGCATCAGGATTGGAGGAAGTCTCATTAACAACCTGCGATATGCAGATGATACAATCTTGCTTGCTGAAAGTGAAGAGGACTTAAAACATTTACTGATGAAGATCAAAGAGCACAGCCTTTGGTATGGATTACATCTCAATGTCAAGAAAACAAAAATCCTCACCACTGGACCAATAAACAACATTCTTATCAATGGAGAAAAGATTGAAGTTGTCAAGGACTTCAGTCTTCTTGGATCAACTATCAACACTCAAGGGATCAGCAGTCAAGAACTCAAACGACGCAGTGCATTAGGCAAATGTGTTGCACAAGACCTTTTTAAAGTGTTGAAGAGCAAAGATGTCACCTTGAAGACTAAGGTGTGCCTGACCCAAACTATGGTATTTTCGATAACCTCATATGCATGCAAAAGCTGGACAGTGAGTAAGGAAGACCATGGAAGAATTGATGCTTTTGAGTTATGATGTTGGAGGAGAATATTGAAAGTGCCATGGGATACCCATAGAACCAACAGATCTGTTTTGGAAGAAGTGCAGCTAGAGTGCTACTTGGAGGCCAAGATGGCCAAACTTTGTCCCTAGTATTTCGGATGTATTGTCAGGAGGGACCAGTCATTGGAGAAGGATATCATGTTTGGTAAGGTGGAGGGTCAGAAAGAAAGAGGAAGACCACTAGCTTTAGTGGTTGGAACATGCTTTTGAGTAACAGTGGTGTTAACTGGTTTTCCTTGTACATGTATGGATATTTTCCTATCACAGACAGCATTGTACTTCAAGATAGAGCTAGAAATGTTCTTTTTGATGATGAATGTTACGTCATTCCTCTTGAATTTGTTGTTCTTGGCATAGTAAACCATAT